CAATGGATGGATGGATGGATGGATGGATGGATGGATGGATGGATGGATGGATGGATGGATGGATGGATGGCTTGTGATAAGAGTTGTATGAGCCCCCAATGAAATGATTTTAACAACAAAGAGAGAGAGGCCATTTACTTAGAACCTTTGAGGGTTCCCTAGAGCAGACTCAGTGCAAAGTTAGCGTGGCCTTCCTAGTTCCTCCCAATGACCTGGGTCCAGCTGCCTATCTGATCCCTTCCCACCCACGGGTACACACTGAAATGTCACGTCCTTTGCATCCACAGCAATGGGCACACATTCCTTTAAGCCCCTGCTTCTCTTTCCCACCAAATTCTGTTCCCTTTGAGACTCAACGACTGTCTCTTTCCGAAGCTCCCTCCAGCAGTCCAGGTCATATGCTTCAGTCTCTGACTTTGGGTCTAGCAGCCGTGCATGTTTATATTCTCCACTCAAGGAAATCTATTCCATTCTGCCGGAAGCAAACTCTGGTTCTTTTGCTGCCCACAAAACACTTTTGCTGAGTCCTGACTTCTACTAAGAATTCACACGCAAGTTACAGTCCTAACTTCACTCTTACCTTCAACCGCACTCCTTCCGTATGGGTATCTTTTTGCCTTTCAGAGCCGGCCAAGTCCACCATGTTCAGGAGGGAGGTCCGTATGTTCACAGCCTCATGGCTCTTCTCTAAAGACTCAACTGTAATTGTAAAGACGGCATGAGATCTAGAGGATTCTCTGTTCATTGAGGTGGATGCCACACGTCTGTTTCTCCATCCTCCAGACAATACCTAGGCAAAAGCAAAATAAATGAAAACAAGCATGGCTAAGTACATTTAAAAAAAAAAAGAGTTAAGATATAAAATAAGTGCTCGAGGACCACTCATTTTAATAAGAAAATTAGTGGCATGTCGCTAATTATCTGCTTATACAATACTTACACAATGGATACTTAACCCTCTAGAACACAAGTAGAGAATCTATGGCACAATTAGTGAAATTTTAGTAGGACAAATGGAATACAATAGCCACTGACATCTTCTTTGTAAAGAACGGGAGAAGGAATACTGGTCCAAAGAGGCACGCACATTCTCAAATCTTTTCCTTTCCCTGTCTTTCTGTTCCCACTCCATGATACACAAAGAGAGTGAGCAAGACGTCAGAACGCTTATGACCTAGGACTGGTTTTGCCACCCTATCTGTTAACTTAATGCAAATCATGGAAGCCTGGTGGCATGGTGGGTTACACTGTGGACTGCTAATACAAGGTCCACAGCTAGAAACCACCAGCTGATTGGTGAGAGAATGATGAGGCTTTCTACTCCTGTAAAGAGTTAAAATCTTAAGAATCCACTAGGGCAGTTCTACTATGTTCCTATGCTGGATGGGAGGAAGTTTGGAGTTTTTTGTTTTAGAATGCAAATCATTAAATCCCTGGATGTATTTCTTTATCTAGACAATTAGACATTTGGACAAGATAAGGCCAAAGTTTTGCTAGCTCTTTTTTCATATCTACAAAGAATTATGTTCACCCACCCTCCTCCTGTGAAAGCAGGACACTAGACAGTGTTGACTGCAGGCTCTCCAACAGATGAACGTTTGTTTACGTCCAAACCCTGACTCTCACCGTTGGTTGACTAGCTGTGTGGTCTAGGGCGAGTTCAGCCTGTTCAAGGATCTGTAAACTGGGAACATGGGTACCTATCTCCAACTTTAGTGTGCGGATGAATCTCCCTGGATCCTATGAAAATGCAGACTCTGATTCAGTAGGTCTGAAGTGGGTTCTGAGAGATCACGCTTCTAACAAGCTCCCAGAGGAGGCTGATGGTGTGAGGACTGAAAAGTTTAAAAAGTTCATGGAAATTTTTCTTTATCATTTTTTCAATTTTTCCAGAAACATTTCGTATGCGAAAGGAAAGACTGGAAAATTAGTGCCTACATTTTAAAGAATATGCTGAAAATTAAAATAATATAGGCAAAAGAACTTTGCACTATACATACACTATACCACACACATGGTAAACACTCACTAAATGGTGGCCATTATGATCTTCTCTTATTAAGCAGTGACAATATAAAACTGAAATTATTTGTATATTTCTTACTTAGTACTGTATGATCCTGTAGTGCTGGTAGTTTTTAATGCCACTCACTATTTATGATTTTATATTTTTAGTAAAGAAAATATATTTCCACAAACACAAGACAGACGATTTTACAGGTGAGTTCTATAGTATTTTCTAAAGGATGGACTATTCTAATCATACAAACTCCCAAAGCATCAATAAAGGTAAAACCAAACAAGACAAAGACAATAGGTCAAAGGAAAATTGTAGATCAATTTCAATACTGATTATTTATGCAAAAACTTAAACAAAATATTAGCAAACCTAATCCAGTAATTTATCATGCTAACGTGTTGAAAGAGGAGAAAATAACAAACCACATAATCACCTTAATAGACAGAAAAAGCACCCAACCAAATAAATTTAAGATAACATACACATAAGCAATCTATAAAAATCAACTTTAATCCTATACACTATCAAACAGTAAATGTCATTTATAAAGACATTATTGACATAATCAACAACAAAATATTGGAATAAAGCTAAGAAAAATAAGGGGAAAAATTTTAAATATGAGTTTTGTAGTGGAAATTATTAAATGATATTGCAAGATATCAAAAGCCAAGTAAATGAAGAGGCACACCATGCCCATGTATGAAAGACTCAATTTTATAATGACATCAATTCCAATCACAATCCCAACATACCGGTAACTGTTTGGAACCTGTGCCGACACACTGTCCCCTGGAAAGCATTATCTATCACTGCAGGAGCTGTCACGTGTACAAAGTTTAAATAGGAGATTCAAACATTTTAATCAAAATGGAAGACGTGATGAATATTTATAGAATATTACATAGCAGCAAAGATAAATGAGCACTGCATGCAACATAGATGAATTACAATTGTTTGAGTCTTAAAATGGCTAATGGACTCTGAAAGTTCATTTTAACACTATGTTTAGTAACTGGTGTGCATGTGGAAATATTTTGTATGTATCAAATATTACAAAATAAAAATTTATTTTAAATCAAGTGGCCAGGTCAGAGTCCATCAATATGAAACCAAGTATTTTGTCAAAGAGTTTGTCCGGAGCCTAATGCTCACAAACAGTTGGCTTTTGATAGCAATAGTGCTTTTCAAGCATGACAAATAAGGACAGAAATGGGGGTAGGGAGGGAGAACCTCCGGCTGGTTGGAAGGCTAGAGATGCAGGATCCCCTCACACAGACAGCCGCTCCCTGGAGAAAGCAATGAATGAATGATGGGCAGGACTGCCCTTCCTCCAGTGGCCCCAGACTTTCGCAGCATGCCACATCGCCTAAGCATCGAGTTCTCAGCAGGGTACCTGGTACGCTTCTGCAGCTGAGGTTACCGCTTGCTCCACTGCACCCACAATAAACACGCCCTTCTTGATATGCTCCCTTAAATAAAGTCCAGCAGATGCAGGGTCCAACAGGTCAAAGATCTGCTCGTTGTAAATCTCAATAAAGGAACACTTACAAAGGAAACTCTTTCCCGTCCCAGCCTGCAAAAGAGAAGCCTAGATGAGAGATATCACTTTCACAAGAACTTACCTTTCATTTTCTTCATAAGGTATAAGTATCCTGCCAGATGATCCTTTAACACAAAATATCTTAAGGTCCATTTGAGGAAGATAACCAGTTTCAACACATTATGATACACACACACACACACACACACACATATACATATATAAGATATATATTTTTTATGGTAGCATTTTCACCTCAGCCCTGCTTGGTGGTCCTCGTGGGGAGAGCCGTGGAGCTAGAGCAGGAAAGCCCCAAGTTTATTGCTTACCAAGGGTTCTCTCTACTTAGGGGGACATGATTACAGGTAACCCGCATTATGATATTTTAAAGAAACATCAAGCCATCATCGCCAGAGCCTGAGAGGTTTGTGCCTCAGAACCAGCACAAGGGAGATGGCCTTTCGGCAGTCTACTTTTAATTTACGTTTTTCTGATATCCTAGGCTGCCTTGCATAGTTTTATTTGCAGCACGTATTATGCTCTTTTAAAGACTGAAAATAATTTAAGAAGCCTTTCTACTGGATTTCTAACTATAGAAATGGATGCATCACTAAACTTAACTACTTTACTGGTGTGCAGTGTGTGGATCTAACTGCAATGGTCAGGGAAGACAGTACCTCCAAAGGAAGAAACCTTGGTAACTAAAGGTTATGTATCAGTTTCCTTGATAGACAGATGACAGAGGGCGCTTTCCTAGACTAAAGAAGCAGGATTGAAAATGGCCAAACTGGGAGTCAGGGGAAAAGACACAATCAGGAGCCCAGCCTGATGAAGCCAGACCACTTCTCGGAGCAGGGGGATCATGGTCAGGTGGTGGCAGATTCTGCACAGGAGCTAAGGATTGGCTTGTCACGACAGGATATTGTGAACATCTCAGGACACCTGCTAGACTAGGTATAGGTAGCTGGTGGAGCTCAGGGTACCTGCTTCCCTTAGTTGAGGTTTTCTTTACACTTTCTCTCCTCTAAAATCCTGCAGCCTTTAAAAATAAATAAATAAATAAAATCCTGCAGCCTAAAGAACACCACTTTCTTTTTTCTTTCCAACCAGAAATCTAGGTCATAGAGTAGGGCACCTGTTCTCATCTCAAAGTCTAATTAAAATTACAAATAAGAAAACTTAATTTTATCTACAGAACTGAAGGTTTTTTCCTACCACACTATCTTATCCACAATGCTGAGTACCACCCATTCCCTTCTGTGTACCCATCAATAACTACTCAAAATTAGGCATTTCACAGAACCAGTTTTCCGTCAATAAATTTTACCTTCTCTTTTTCACGATCAATTAAGAAAAACAAATATTCAAAGCTTCGTGGGATCACTCCTCTCAGGTTATGAGAAAAATTATCAGATTCAGAGGGTCCTAAGATTTAAAAAAAAGGCACCATTTATTTTTCTTCTATTTTAACATGGCAATTTATAGAGCAACAGGGTGATATACTGACACACTTTACAATCAGTATCCGTGTATGCTTCAAAACAAGTTAGGTTTACCCTGTGAGATTCTGTCGGTGGGACTAAGAGTGAGACCTACTACACAGCCAGCAACCAATTCAAAAAGTGGTTGTTGTTTAACAAAACAAATAGTCTACAGAGGTACCAAGCTTGACATTTCTCCTACTGCCAGGTGTCAAAATCAACAGAAGTGTCAAATAATTGTACTTACTTTATGACCGAGGACATTCGGTTCTGAAACACAGCACAGGCCAAGGCCCTATACTGGCTGTGTCACCATAGGCTAATCTCTCACAAGCTTTGCAATCCTCAACTATAAAATGGGGATAATAAAGGTAATAACTACCTCACAGGGCTGTTGGATTAACTGAGAGTATAAAGGTAAAGCACTTAGCACAGTGGTTCTCAACCTTCCTAATGCAGTGACCCTTTCATACAGCTCCTCATGTGGTGGTGACCCCCAACCATAACATTATTTTCATTGCTACTTCATAACTGTAATTTTGCTACTATTATGAATTGTAATGCAAACATCTGAATGCAGGATGTATTTTGATTGTTACAAATTGATAATTTTTAACATAATTACAAAAACATAATTAAAGCATAGTGATTAATCACAAAACAATATGTAATTATATACTGTGAAATATTTGTGTTTTCCGATGGCCTTAGGTGACCCCTGTCAAAGGGGTCCTCCATCCACCCACCAAGGGGTCTCGACCCACAGGTTGAGAACCACTGAAATACAGGAAGGAACTAGGAAGCAAAAGACATTTATAGAGGTATAAATATAGGCATGTATATATGTAAATATATTTATATATAATGATAGGGAAATATTCTATGTACCTATATTTATATGTTAAATATTAAGGTAGCAGATGGACAGTGGGCCTCGACTCAAGTACTTCCTCAACACAAGAACACTTTGTTCTAATAACCTGGCATTCCATGATGCTCACCTTCCCAACACAATCGCTGAAGACAAAATGGGTGCATAAGCAAATGTAAAGAAAAGTGATGGTGCCCAGCTCTCAAAAGATACAGCGTCTGGGGTCTTAAAGGCTTGAAGATAAACAAGTGGCCATCTAGCTGAGAACAAAGTCCACATGGAAGACGCACACCAGCCCGTGTGATCACAAGGTGTCGACGGCATCGGAAGACCCAAAACAAACAACCATTTCTATGCAAACCAGGGGGTTGGAATGGAGACCCAAAGCCCATCTGTAGACACTTGGACGTCCCCTCACAGAAGGGTCACAGGAAGGGACAAGCCAGCCAGGGTGCAGTGTGCAAAACCCACAACATTCCTGAAGTTCTTTAATGCTTCCTCCCTTCCCCCTACAATCACGACCCCAGTTCTATCTTGCAAATCTGGCTAGACCAGAGCATGTACACTGGTACAGACGAGAGCTCTCGAGACACAGGACAGATAAACCCCTCAGGACCAATAGTGAGAGTGGCAATACCATGGTGGTGGGGGAAAGCGGGGGGGAGAGGCGGGAGAAAGGGGGAGCTGATCGCAATGATTGATGTACAACTCCCCCCACTCAGGGGGACTGTGAACAACAGAAACATGGGTGAAGGGAGACAGCCGATGGTGTAAAATATGAAAATAAAAATAATTTATAAATTATCAAGGGTTCTCTAGGGTTGGGCAGGGAGGAGAAAAAAGAGGAGCTGATACCAAGGACTCAAGTGGAAAGAAAATGTTTTGGAAATGATGATGGCAACATATGTACAAGTATACTTGATACAATTGATGCATGGATTATTATAAGAGCTGTAAGAGCCCCCAATAAAATGATTTATTAAAAAAGAAATAAACGAAAGGAAGAAAGAAACTCGAACAGGCACTTCACAGAGGACCTAGCCAAATATCCAACCTGAGAAGTGTTCATGTCATTAGGCATCAGATACATACAAATGAAATGAGATAATACTTCACAAACTCCAACAAGACTAAAATCTAAATCTGCCGATACTAAATGTGGGCAAGGATGTAGAGTAAATGGAGCTTCTATATGCTGCTGGAACCACTTTGGAAAACAGTCTGGCAGCACCTACTAAAGCTGAATATATGTGTATGCTGCAGCCCAGCAACTCATTCCAGGTCTATATAGAAGTAAACTTCAAAAGAAGCATATAAAATAATAAAATTGCATAGCAGCACTATCTGGAAACAATCCAGAAGTCCAACAGAACGAAAACCTTTTAATATATTGATACTACATATATTACACAACAATAGAAATAAAACAACTATTACGATATGCAACACAAAAGCCTTGGTGGTACAATGGTTAAGTGCTTGGCTGTTAACCTAAAGGTCGGCAGTTCAAATCCACCAGCCACTCCTCAAGGGAAAGATGTAGCAGTGTTGGAAACTTTAGAGCAAGTCTACTCATCCCTGTTGCTATGTATGAAATCACCTTGACTGCACACAACAACAGCACACCCAACAGTCAGTAAGAGCCCTGTGACACAACAGATCAGCACTCCGCTGTTAATCAAAAGGATGGTAGTTTGAATTCCTCTGAGGGAGGAAAGCCCTGGTGTTCGGCCCCCAAATGATTACAACCCAGAAAACCCTATACATAGTTCTCCTCAGTCACAACAGAGTGTCGGTGTGAGTCAGAATCGATTCAACAGCATCGAACAACAACAAAATAGGCAACAAGAATGAATCTTGAGGGTGGGGTGGAAAGGGGGAACCGATCACAAGGATGTACATATAACCTCCTCCCTGGGGGATGGACAACAGAAAAGTGGGTGAAGGAGATGTCGGACAGTGTAAGATATGACAACATAATAATAATCCATAAATTATCAAGGGTTCATGGTGGGGGGGGGATGAGGAGCTGATACCAAGGGCTCAAGTAGAAAGCAAATGTTTTGAGACTGATGATGGCAACAAATGTACAAATGTGTTTGACACAATGGATGGATGCATGGATTGTGGTAAGAGTTGTACGAGTCCCCAATAAAATGACTGGGGGGGAAAAAGGCCATTAAGAGAAAAAAAAGAATGAATCTTATAAACTTAATATAAGAGAAAGAAGCCAGAGACCGAGGAGCACATACTGTATAACGTCATTTGTGGGAAGTTCACGACAAGTAAAACTAATGAGAAAAGTCAGCAATGAATATGCCAAGGGGCAGGATGGGGATAGCCCCTGATGAGGACTCTCCAGTCAGGAGTAGGAGCACAATCCACATACAGCTATCGAGGAACTCCCCTCCTCTGTCAGCTTGTCAGCGAAGGAAAGGAAGGTCCTGGTCAAGATGGACGGACACGGTGGCTGCCACCGCAGGCTCAACGGAAGAACAACTGTGCGGGTGGCAAGAGAGCAGGCAGGGTTCAGTCTCCCGGGCACAGGGTCGCTGTAAATTGACTGTGGCTCAAGGGCACCTCAAGAACTAGAAATCTGCCAGGCCCTGGGGAAGACCTTTCATTTCATTAGGTCCACATCACATGTGGAAATGAAGCCTTCCCTCTCAAAACGAATCTTGGTGCTATCATTCGAGAAACACTACACCGGTGCACATTTATCTTTAATTTACTCACCCATCATAGTAAATGTCTTCCCTGAGCCAGTCTGTCCACTAGGAAAGAGAAAGTTTACATGTGATTTCTACAATAAAATCTAGACAGCTCTTTTATTTATTTATTTATTTGTTTATTTATTTTATTTAGTGAGACAGTGAGAGAGTGAGGCAGTGAGAGTGAGGCAGTGAGAGAGTGAGAGTGAGGCAGTGAGAGAGTGAGGCAGTGAGAGAGTGAGGCAGTGAGAAAGTAAGGCAGTGAGTGAGTGAGAGAGTCTAGACAGCTCTTTTAATATAGTCTTCTGGTGCATAAATCCCCTGAAAAAGCTTATGTTCTTTATTCAATTACACCGAGTGAAAAAACAATGACCCACATCTCCTCTCTCTCCAATCCAACCCCTAAAAGCTCACCACTGTTGACTGGCACGTGCCTCCAGGTGATACAAACATACCCACCAGTTTTCATTTAATTTTTACTTATGAAAACTGGGATCCCATTCCTGCTACCATTCTGCAACCTGTTTCCCCCCCTTAATTTAAGTTATATTTATTATACTTTACCAGAACCAATTGGACTTTGGTGACTAGCTTTTACTTTTCTCGATAATTTCTTTCTTAGGAGGCTCTCGTGGTTTATCTATTTCTTTTGGTGGGAGGAAGGGAAAGCAAGTTGCTACATAATTTAGAATGAGAAGTAGGTATCCATGAGCTCGCCGCAAACAGTGGCCCAATAGTGAGTTGCTGGACAGACACTTGAGTCAAGGGGACACTATGACTCTGGAGCTGCACGGTGCCCGCGGGGTGAGCCTCCCCGTCCCCCAAGCGTTCATTTCTATCCCAATGCTTCCGGTTCCTGTCGGGAGGATTCCTATCGGGAGGATTCCTACCGGGAGGATTCCTAGGAGCAACTCCAACACGCCTGGCCAGTGCGCCTCGAGATTGTCAAGGTCTTAAAAGAGTGAGACTGAAAACTGTCACAGACTACAGAACAAGAGTGATATGTGACCACTAATAGCAATGTGCTCTCTGGCTTTGACTCTCGAACAGGAAAAAGACATTAATGGGAAAAAAAACTGGTAGAATCTAAATAAAGGCTTATGTTTAGTTAATAGATGAACTATACCACTATCGTCTTATTAATTATGACAGGTGCATATAAGACATTAACTTTAGGAGACATTGGATGAAGAGTTTATCAGAACCCTATCATCTTTGTAACTGTTTTATAAATCTAAAATTATTCCAAAAATTAAAGTTATTAATGTTAAGATCATAAATACACATTCTTTAAAACCTCTAAATGTGTGATAATTTGTGAGCGCTGTCATAAAGACCAAACACCTTTGTAGAAGGAGAGAGGAAACAACTTACTAAGCAAAGATGGTTCCATTATAACCGCTCATGCACGATTCCACAATGCTTTTGGCCACAGTTGAGAACACAGACTCCTATCAATGAAAGCAAACATGCTAAGAGTTCAAAAACATAAGAATATTTGTCCTAAGTCCATTTTACGATACACAAAGGGATTTATGTGTAGATCTTAAATGCCTATGCTAATGTAACAAGAAAATTACATCCACTACAAAAAACGGCTAAAACATCCCAGATGAAACTTGAAACATAATTATATCCATCAATCTCCTATCCCAATAATTATAGGTTAAAAAGTCCACAACTCGACTTCATACAGGATTTTGTGTAGCATATCCTAAGAAAATATTTTGGTGCTGGCATAAAATACTGGGAGTCTTACATTTTCTCCATCAATTTTCTTAGGAGCTTGTACTAAATATCCAGTGTTATATTTATTTTCATTTTTAAATATAAGTAGACACAGCTTTATCATCCAACCATGCCAGAATCCTAGACCTGTGACAGTCCAATACAGAAGCCATGGGCCAAACGAGGCTAGTCAGCTCATGAAATGTGACTCATCAATTAAAAACAAAAACGTTCTCTAGATAACACAATGGTTTAACCATGGCTACGAACCACAAGGTTGGCATTTCAAATTCAATGCAGTGCAGTAAAAGGTGTGCTGCTTCCACAATCATTGAAAACCCAACAGAGCAGTGGTTCTCAACCTTCCCAATGCCGCGACCCTTTCATACAGTTCCTCATGTTGTGGTGACCCCTAACCATAAAATTATTTTCGTTGATACTTCACCACTGTCATTTTGCTACTGTTATCAATTGGGCAAACCCCAAAGGGGTCGTGACCCACAGGCTGAGAACCGCTGTGATACAGCACCTGCTACCTACGTGGATGCCATAAATCAGATCAACCCAACAGCAACAGACTTAAGTGCACAAAAGCACCAAATTTTGAAGACCGAACATTACAAAGAGGACAGAAAACCTCATTCAGAATGTGTTTTATCTTTATTACATGTTGAAATGATATTTTGTTATATATTTGTGTTGTTAGGTATCACTGAATAAAGTTGCTCTATTACACAGAAGATCGTCACCAGTCATAGCCAACTTGATGGCAACCAACTAGAAATTTTTTTGATGACGTGAATAAAAAGTTATTGGCCAGTTTTGCCTTAAAACAAAGGAAGAGGGCTCAAGTAGAAAGCAAATGTTTTGAGAATGATGGCAACAAATGTACAAATGTGCCGGCCACAATGGATGGATACATGGCTTATGATAAAAGTTGTATGAGCCCCCAATAACATGATTAAATAAAAAAAGAGAGAGGAAGAGCCATCTAAAGTTCTAAACGTCTCAGCCAAAACAACTAGGGGTCAACCTAGATCCGCGGAGGCCAACAGTCACATTTTAAAGGCTCACTAGTAGGTACGGGTGGCAAGTGTACCCGAGGAGCCGAGTTACTTCATCATCATAACATGCATAGCTACGTTTGGCTGGAGCTCCCTGCAGGGACCAGCACAGGTACAGACATTTCCGTCACCGCAGAAAGCTCTACTGGGTAGTGCTGAGGAAGTTCTGACTGGTCCTCAATCAGAAAAGCATTCATTGACATCATAGTAATCCCGAAGCTATTATTCTCTGTAAATTGGGCAGCTTACAGCACTAATCAACCATCCTAGTAGCTCTGAAAAGTATGCCCTCACCAATCCCCATCACTGCAGGGAAAGGAGAAGAAAAGCAGGCTTATGCTATTCTGGTACAAAGTTTGATGGAGAAAACAGAAAACTCTTTAAAAAAATCTGAATCAAACACATGACTTTCCTTACCTGAGGTTTACCAGAAATGCAATCCCTAAAAACCACAAAGCCTGTTCCGAGTGAAAAGTTAAGTGTCCAAAATGACCGTTACCTGAGTGACATCCATGTCTGCAACGTGATCAAACGTGAAGGTCCTGGGCTCGGGGTTGGAGTGCAGCCGCAGAGTGGCGGTGGAGAGCACGGAGAGACAGAGGCTTTGCTCTCCCTCAGCGGACCCAGGACCCTCTGCGAGTGGGCGGACTCGCACAAAAACTTTGATGGCATCACCTTCATTACTGAAGAGAGAGGGTGGGAAAATGGCGTTTACTGGAGAAAAGAGCACACATGGGATCGTCGTCTCCTGCCACCTGTACTGTTTCTACATGGAGAATTCCTCAACAAGACCCCAGAGCTGCCCACTCCTGCTTGCCCTACACCCTTTACTGACCTGCCTCCCACAGGCATCGTCATGCCCTTTACTGCGTCAAACGGGGTTCATTTCAAGGCGCTCTAAGCCACTGCTTGCTTCTCAATTGCTCCTGAGTAGCAACAATAAATTAAGCCATGCCAGGGGGAGTTAGGATAGTAATTCCACCTTTCAGGGCAGGGAAGGATGGGTTTTCCCGAGATTTCCAGATTACTAGAGTCAAATTTAATTATTTTTTTTAAAAGCACCCCCTTACTATAAACCGAAAAATCAAACTCTGCCACTGAGTCGATTCTGACTCACAGTGACCTTATAGGACAGAGCAGACTGCCCCTGTGGGTTTCTGAGACTAACTTTAATGGGAGTAGAAAGCCTTGTCTTTCTCTCACCCCTTTTAGGAATATCACAGAGATGCTTAATTCTTTGGGCAGGTGCCCTGGTGGTTCAATGGCCATGTGACTGGCTGCTAACCCAAAGGTTGCCAGTTTTAACCTCCCCAGCGACTGCAAGAAAAGACCTGCTATCTGCTCCCTTAAGATTACAGCCTCGGAAACCCTTCCGTCCTGTAGGACTGCTCGGCGTGGAGTCAACAATGATTTGGTGGCTCATCAATAAGATTTTTGTCCTTACCTTGGCTGGTTAGCCTGGTTAGTGTTTGTCACATTACGTAACTCAGCTAGAAAATAAGACAAGAAATCATTAACGCTGTTTTAAATTGCATGACAATACATGGCCTGTCTCCGTGGCTATGCTACAGGGCCTGCTCCGCAGAGATTCCTCCATCCCAATCTCCTCTGCTCCCAACGGCCAGGGGAGAACTCCAGGGCTCAGTCCTCAATGCTCTCGCCTAGCCACACCCACTCTAACCAACAGCACCCATCCTATATGCTACCAGGGCTGAAGCAGCCCTGGCGCCACTGTAAGCTAAGCGGTGGACTGCTTATTGCAGTAGCAGAAGAAAGACGAGGCTGCCTGCTCCTGTAAAGATTTAGTCTCCCAAACCCTATAGAAGCTCACTATGAGTTAGCAAATACTCGATGGCAGTGGTCCTCTATACGGTGCTGATGGGAGCCTCGGTGGCATAGTGGGTTACATCTTGGGCTGTGAATTACAAAGTCAGCCAGTCATACCCACGAGCCACCCCTCGAGAGCCTGTGGGACTGCCTCCTCTCACAAAGATTTAGGGTCTCTGAAACCCTAGGTGAAGCCCTGGGAGTGTACTAGGTACACTTTGGGCTGTAATCCGAAAGGTCAGCAGTTCAAAACCCGCAGCGGGAGAAAGACAGGTCTTTCTACTTCCTCAAACAATTAGTCTGGAAAACTCTACCCTCTTCTTTAAGGTCGCCACGAGTCGGCATCAACTCCGTGGCAGTGAGTAAACCTGTGGAGCCCCTAACACTGTCCTATCGCGGCCCTGTGAGCTGGAGTCCACTCCACAGACGGTTTGGTTTGGGATGCATATATGCGGGTGTGTGTGCGCCACAGCAAGTGACTCCTGGGTTGACAACCCAGCTGTGGCTTCCTGTCAAATTCAGAGTGAAAGGCCAAGTCCTCACAATAGATCCCTACCTCCACAACTCACTTCCTACCACGCAGTTGATTCTACTCCAGCTGAGCTGCACTACTCGTTTTCCTAGAGCATGCCAGACTTCAGGACCTACGCATTTCTTACGGCTTCTGCCCAGAACATTCCCTAAGTTCTCTAGGTACTTACTCATCTATCACCTTCTTGATAAACTACTCCGTGACCACCTGCTACATGAAATGAAACCATTTCTTCCCTCCCCCCCCCCCCATGCATCTTTCATTCTCACCCCTTCTCCATGGTCCTACTTGCCACGGAAGACCGTGTTGCTGCAGCCAATATACATTCTATGTCAGTTTCTGCATCCTCTGGCACTTAGTAAGAACTCAGTAAATGTCTTTGGACGAAGACTATTAAGGCGACAGTAAACATATTTCTAGTCTGCTCATAGCATAAGCATTCGAAGCAAAACACTAGCACAGAACAACTCAATTTCTGGAGTTGTACCCACAGCAGATGAATGTCTGAAGCAGAAAAGAAGCCACCCTCTCTCCAAACTGCCCACCTACCCTGCACAATCTCCCCATGCTCTGAATAAGATCATAATCAGCAAGCAGACCCAAAGGTACGATAGGCAAGTGTTCTCATCCTTACAGAAAGCTAGAGAAAGATGAAAACTAGGGATAGCTATGCTTAGAATAGGTACCACAGGCAGGGCTCACCCCAGAAAAGGTCGGCACCAAATAAAAACTTGGGTTTACCTCACTCAGACGGTGTTTTGAAGGTCTCATGGGGGAGGAAGGTTCAGAAGGGGCAACTAAGCCTCAGCCATCCTTTAAAACTGTGGACCAAGCTAAAAGCAGTCAGGGAGCTCACTCTAGCTCTGTATTCTATACAAACGACGGTATCTCCTGGGCCTTCATCCGAAACAACCACGAATCCTCAAAATGACAGCAAAAGACAACACATTTTACAAACACTGTAAGCTTCATGCTGTCTCTGCCTGTCAGCTGGGGTAATACATCCACTCCTCACTTAGCAACAGTTAGGCTCCAAAGATCAAGTCATTATATGAAAATGGGGTAACCAAAAAAATAGGGAGCCCCCATATCATCCCAGCAGTATAAAATGACATCATTACATAACTGCCAAACCGCGGAGAGCTATGTATGGCCCAACCAATGCACAACCGTAAGTCACAGTCACTGTTACTCCCAGGTGACTCCTCGGCACTTGTGACTGCCACACAAGCGTGGTTACCTCACAAAAGAGCCAGACAGCAGCTATTTCCCTACGGTGGCAGGTGTGAGATGTCAGGTAACAAGATAGTCGATACACGAGGGGTCGGTGGAGGAGAGCCAAGATCTGAGCTGCTAGGTATGAAAGTCACAGAGAGAGACGACACGAAAAAGTAACTGTTTGACCTGCTTTATGTTAATAGAACTTATTTCAACCTTTCCACTCTGTATGCTTCTTCAGATAAAGATTCATTTTTTAAAATTTCTATTCTGGAATAAAACTAATTTATTAGAGCCAGGCTTTCCTCCCTGCTGCGTGCCCTCCATCGAGCAGCCCGTCTGCCTGAAGACAGGCAGAAAAGCTACAGGGGCTGGCAACCAACGCATAAGAAAACACGGAGCCACACGAGAGGGCAGAGCCCCAAATGTGAGCTAGCATGCGGGCTGCTTTCCCCTTCAAAGCGGTTGCTGCTTCTAAAAGCTGGAGCAAAGAGGAACGGAAAATGAAGTTCAGGACCCAGTAAATGCTCCTCCGTTTCAAACGGGAGACCAAGACATGCAACGAAGAATAAAGACACCAATCACCAGCGTCAATGTTCAGCCACGATGTTGTAACTGGGCTGGATTGACCCTCCTGTCCTAAGTGCATGGGGACGTAGACAACAGAGATGCAGCCATTTGTCTGACACTGGACGAGAGCACTGTCAAGTGACCCTGAGATAAGGGACACAAAAGTCAGCGAGCCCTTCCATTGGTGTCACGTTTCAGATTAGGGGTGAGGATTGATTATTGGCTGTGAAGGTGGCATTACAAGCCTTCTGGGGAGGAAGCATTCTTTTTCTTATCCTGGATTACCTAAGTATGTTTAAATGTTAAAATTCATTGAACACAGGGAACCCAGTATAGATGACTCCTTCAGGACCAGTGGTGAGAGGGGCGATGCCTGGAGGGTGAAGGGAATGTGGGGTGGAAAGGGGGAACCGATTACAAGAATCTAAGTATTGCCTCCTCCCTGGGGGATAGACAGCAGAGAAGAGGGTGGAGGGAAACATTAGACAGGGTAACTTATGACAAAAGTATAATTTATGAACTGTGAAGGGTTCATGAGGGAGGGGGACGAAGGAGGGAGGGGGAAATGAGCAACTGATATTAGGGGCTACAGTGGGAGGCAAATGTTTTGAGAATGATGAGGGCAACAAATGTGCAAATGTGCTTGACACAATGGATGGATGTATGGATTGTGATGAGAATTGTACGAGCCCCCAATAAAATAATTTTTAAAAAAAATTCATTAAACAATGTGCTTAAAATGCATGCCTTTTACCATTTATAAGTTACAGCACAATAAAGCAGTAAAAGAAAAAAATGTTTAATCATTTTATTGGGGGCTCCTACAACTCTTATCATCATCCATCCATCCATCCATCCATCGTCAAGCACATTAAAGCAGTACGATTGTAAAGCCATCTTTCTGCTATGCCTTACGCCGCTGCTCAGATCATATGCTCATCGGCCATTTGACCCAAGGTGATTGACTTCAGAAATCTCATCTTAAAACTCGGTCAATTTCATTAGAATTATTTTCATTTCGGCACTCCATAGCCAGCAAAACCTAGTTTTTTAAAAAAGTAAAAGTCCTAGAGAGCACTGCATGTGCCCCATTTCACACCACCGAGCTCAGTATGACCAACAGATTTAAAGGGGATTGAGGGGCGGGGAGCAGGTCCAAGTTATCCATGACCATTGCATCCATTACCACCATCCAAAAAATAAAGTCTGAAACAGAACTACCTCCGTATTAGAATAATCAGCATTTATGCTCAAAGAGGTGCAGCTACCCAAGGCAGGCTCAAAGGACAAGGAATGGAGGGGGGAAACACCGAGAGAAAGCACAGTTCATCGAGGGGGTGGCAATGGATGAACTGAGTCAGCATTTATACGAACTGCTGAAAAGAACACTATAGCCTGTTCTGTAAAACTTCACCTATTACACACTCAAACTCACTTTCAGAAAGATTTTCAAATTCAGGAAGGGTAGAGTCCCTAATAATCAGTCACATCAAAACATCACTGTCCACTTGAGAGAGATGCTCGAGCTCTGCCTGCTCGCTTGCGGAGTCTCGGTGTCAGAAACCCTAGCTAGGGTCCCTGTGTGCCGGATGCACCCCAGGGTGGTGGCCGTGATGCGTAGTTCTGCTAGAGGTCAATTCTGAATGTAGATGGTACAGACTTGAAGGTGAGGGGCAAGACCATGGTTGGGCAGGAAAACAAGCCCAACGTTTCTGTCCAAGGGTGCTCATATTCCCTGAATACTGAAAATGGTGAAGGGCATTCATCTATGATAAAACAGGGACCCTTGAAAGAAGACAGAGGTAAGCTCTAGGAAGCAAGGGTATAGCTAGGGACACTAACAGAAGTGTGCACATATACATTAATCCATAAAAACAGGTATTGACCTATATATTTATAAAGCAATACACTGAGACTGCAGACAGGCCTTGGGCCTCAGCTCATACCTTCCCTCAATACAATAACACTTTGTTCTAACAAATTGTCATTCTGTGATGCCCATCCGACCCCACCCGTCTCCCCTCAGCCCCAGCCCCACCCCCATTACTGAAGACAAAATGAGTGCATAAGCAGATGTGGTGAAGAGAGAGGATGGTGCCCGGCTATTAAAACATATAGTGTCTGGGGTCTTAAAAGCTTGAAGTTAAACAAGAGGCTACTCAACAGTGAAGCAACAAGTCTACATGAAAGAAGCACACCAGCCAGTGCGATTGTGGGTTGTCATTATGACTAGGCAATGGGCACCAGAAGATTCACAATAAACAAACAAAAATGCATTCATGAGAATGCTGGGGGGAGGGGGGGAGTGTTGGAGCAGAAACCCAAAGTCCATCTGTGGCCAATGGAACATCCCCCAACAGGGTCTCAGGGAGGTGATGAGTCAATCAGGGTGCAGTAGAGCACCCATGGATCCTGCAATATACCTCTGATCCCTTGAGGCCTCCTCATCCCCTCACCCCCCACCCCCACCCCACTATCCCAACCCCACTGCCACGCCCCACTCTGAACTAGACGGGAGCATGTGCATAGGTACAGGCAAGAGACAAAACTCAGAACACATGGACCCAGGAACAGGAATGGGAACAGAGATCCCAAAAGGATAGGGGGAAGGGGGGGAGGTGGGGAGGGAGGGAGGGGAAAACGGATCGCAATGAATGGCACATAACCACACATCCCCATCCAGGGGGAAGAACAACAGAAACCAGAGGGGAAGGGGGACAGTGGTCAGTATGAGTTTGAAAATAATTAACAATCTACAATCTATCAGGGGGCCACAGGGTTGGGAGGCAGGGAGGAGGGAGGAGGAAAAAAAAGGGGAGCTGATCCCAAGGGCTCAATGGAAAGTAAATGTCTAGAAAAGAATGATGTACTAATATGTCAGATACAATTGATGTACAGATTGTAACAAGAGTTGTAGGAGTCCCCAATAAAATGATCTTAAAAAAAAAAAAGATTACAGCCATAAAAAGAGGGTGGGGGGGAAGCCTTGAAGTGTTCTAGTGGTTCTCAACCTTCCTAATGCTGCGACCCTTTCGTACAGGTCCTCATGCGGTGGTGACCCCCAACCCTAACATTATTTTCATTGCTACTTCATCACTGTCATTTTGCTACTGTGATGAAGGACCCCTGTGAAAGGGTCCTTCGACCTCCAGGTTGAGAACCTGCTGGAGACCATGCAGTGTCTGATTCAAAAGGCTCACCACACACGACCCACGAAAGAAACAACAAACACATCAATAAGCAATGACAAGCGACACTGGGATGGGAACGTTTGGTGGAGAGCCCAAAGGAAAGGTTTCTCAGTCTTCCACAGTCACAAGCCACTGCCCACGGCCACTCTCCCTAGTCAGAGAAGTCCATCTGACCCGCCCAGTGGTTGTCCGGTCACCAGGAGTTGACGGATCCCGACTCACAACCGGCCCTGCAGGACGAAGGTGGAGGGGCCCAGTTGGCTTCCCCAGGCTTCCAGGGCGTTGCCAACCACCCAACTTTCAGCTAGCAGTGCAGCGTTTTAGCCTCTGCGCCAGCCAGCGGCTCGCCACCAGACGTTCGTCCTCGGCTTTAGAAAAGACTCTTTTGGGGACTGCAAGCCAAACCCAATACTGTCGAGGTCAATTCGGACCCACCGCGAGCCAAAAGTAATCATGACAGCGCTCCCTCCCTTTCAGGAAAAGAGGGGATGGGGGGTGGGGGGTGGACAGTTCCCTTGAGAAAATGTAAGAGATTGTGACAGACATGTTGACCAGGCGGAAATCTGTGTTTGAAAACCCCCTTCTCGACGGAGGGCGGGCTCCATTCCCTTTCCAAAGAGTCAGAACTGGAGGACGGTGCCGAAGGCGGGGAGAGCCAGTGCCCGGCCCTAAGGCAAGGCTCCCCCGGGAAGCAGCCCTGCTGGGCAGCACGGGCGAAGGCCAAGGGCCACGCGGCACGAGCCAAACAAAATGAAAGCGGGCAAGGAGGGGCGCGTCGCTGAGTGCCCACCGCCTCGAAGAGGGCTCTCATTTCCGGTCCACTGACCATCCGTCCCAAGCAGCGCCCCAAACCCCGACGGACGGGAGGAAGGCCGGCAGGGCATGGTCTCCGAGGGACGGGGACGTTCCGAACACCCCTCGACTCGGTCTGCCCCGGCCCTTCGCATCCCGAACATCCCTGGTCCCTCAGGCCCGGCCCCTCACACCAGCACGGAACCTCCCCAACAGCCCGGGGAGTGGGGGCGACGGGCAGTCGCTTCCCAACTGCATCTGGGGTCGGGGTCCGGGTGACGCGGCAGGAACGCCTTACTTACTTTTGCAGCCCGGCGCCATGGTAACCCAGGGTCTCCTATCCCAATCCCGAAATCCAACCCCAAGGCAGAAACCCAACCTCGGCTGCCCCCGCCTCCTGGCTGCGCCACGCCGCCGGGATCCCGCCCAGTCAAGATGGCCGCGAGTTTGAATTTGGCGCTCGAGAGAGGTCAATTCTGAATGTAGATGGTACAGACTTG